ATGATCACTCACATAAATGGCAGATCTTCAGAATCACTGGCCATTCGAAGAAGAAGAGGAGGTTTCCCTTCATCACAATCTTTCAAAAAGAGATGCCTTCCACTTCTTCCAAGTAACCATGAGGAACTCGATGCAACTTTTTCAAGTGTGTATAACCCACAGAATGCTGGAGCCTACAATATTTTTAAGAGACGTTAGAAGTTGGTTGTCCTGCCCCCAGCACCCCACCCACCCCGTTTTGGAAATAAGTAATAAGTATTGACATGCAAGAAGCAGAATGAAACTAAAGCAACATAGTTATTTGGGATGCTTGATGACTCATGCCACTAACTACCATGCACTTATATGATAAGGAAATTTCAAAATGAAACTAGACCAAAATATTCAAAACCATACAAAATTTCAATGAAACTTCAAGAAGCGTAAGTATTGATGCAGCTAAAATGCAATCATGTTCATGTTAGGCGAGTTTGCATAACATTTTTTCCAGATGAGTGACTGTCCACTTAAAGTCAAAGACATTCGTGAGTTGTTTAATCTCAAAAGAATGTCTGAATAAGCAGTATGCATGATAACGAAAATCTTCTTTGAAGTCTACCCTGAGAGAACCTATAATGCATTTTTGGTGGTAAATTTCCTCGTTAGTAGTGTAAGTCAAAGCTCATTTGGAAGAATATCTTTCTCTGCCCCAATTATTGTTTTTCCTCTTCCTTTTCCTTTTAAATTTTTGAGGCTAGGTTGGGGTTGAGCTGCTAAGGACCTGTTATCTAACAGTGTATTTTACTTAAAATTGCAAATTTCTCATAATATCAGAATTTAACAGAAGATCAATAACGTGGATTGAGTAAAAGGCCTCTAGTTACCTGTTTGTGCCCCCTACAACCGAGATGTGGCGTAGCACAGGTTATAAAGTTCATGGGTTCCAGCCCAGCAATTTTTCTTTTCGATACCTCTTCCACACACAAATTAGTGGAACCATTAAGACTACATTCCATCTCTTCTCCACAAGCTCTTCTTGCAGATCCTTGTTCATATAGCTTCGCAATTGCATATCTAGATACCAGGCCACCTAGGGAGTGACAAACAAAAGAAATCTTCTGTAGATGTGGATGCTGCTTTATAACAGATAATACCTGACATTAAGTACAAAAAGCAAAAGTCAGCAAAAATTAAGTTCCAGTAGGTCTTGCTTAGCAAATAAGCAAACTTACATGTTAGACCTGAAGAATAAGAATCAGTTTAGATGTCATCCTAATACAATACCAAAGCCCATATTGTACAACAAATGGAAAAAATCCTTAGCAACTAACAAACAAGGGTAGGTATGTATGTTAGCAAGAGCTAATATTTGGAAGACAAAAGAATTGGTCAATAGCTTCAACTGTACATCTTCAGTAGGCAATGCAGAATTAAGGTCTATATGGGCGGAGAAGTCAATCAAAAACAAGGATCTGAAAGAAGGATAAAGATAATAACTGGACTGAAACAATGGCATAGGTACAATGAAACTCATTGAAGGAAAGAAGAAGAATATTTTTAACCTAGTTTGGTTTCCAATATCATGGTTGTTCTTGACTCCCACAACATAAGTAGGTCAGATAAAATGAGAGTGGCGGAGCGGTTTGTGTTGATGAACAGGAGTTAATTTAAATTGATTCAATACACACCTCTTCAGCTAGTCTTGTCCCCATTATGTCAACACCATCGAATGTCAAGGTCGAACAATTAGAGTCACTGCCTGGAAATAGAATATTAATTAGGAAATAGTTGGAATTAATACAGGAAACATATAGCTCTAACTGACAGATAGATGCATAAAGATTGTGGAAACATGAAATCAACGCAAAATTGGAAGCCATCCTAGTTTTCAGAAACTAATAACCAATAAAATTTTGGAATTGTAATGCCAAAAGCTAAAGTTATCCAATTCTCTCCAAGGACCTCTATATTTACTTTCCTTTGAAGAAACAAAAGGAGTTCTAATACTACCAGTTGATTCTTCATTTAAAAAATATCCAACTTCAAAATTGTCGATCTATGAGTATCAAATTAAGCTATAGACTAGCTTATGTAGTCGGTCGACTTTGTCCCTGTTGTTAGAGTTAGAAATATGGTAATCTGTTATGTAGTTGCAGGGAAACGAGAAAAGAAGAAAAGAGGCAGTTCTCTTATTTGCATCAACATTCATTTTTTCTTACTTACTAAGAAGAAATATGACTGCCTTTCTTTTTTGGTCAATCATACATATAAATGTGATCAAACAGTAGCTGCTGTTCCCAAAGTAATGACATTTAACGCTACAATATCACTTCAATCAACCGAACGTCTGGACAAATAAATAGAATTAAAACAGAAGCAGGGAATTGAGTCAAGAACAGAAGCTTACAATGAACAATGACATCGCGTGAATAGGCCTTCACAAATTGCTTGGCAGCATATTTCCAATCATCTGCACTGCACAAGCAGAGATGTCAAACCATCAAAAGCCAAACACACTAATCTCTCATCATATAACACCATCACAACACAACAACTAAAATTACCAACAAAAATCAGCACATACATTTCCAGATTTACAAGTGATTAACCTATAACAACTATTGAGAAAAAAAAAAAGGAACAACAAAAAGTAACTATTATGTCTCGCCCGTGGCGGAACTAGAAATTTATACAAGGGGATTCAAAAAAATTCTAAGATATCACAGTTGAAATTTGAACCTATGACCTAAAGCAGTTTTGAACCCCCTTTACTACTATATTTGATTTTTTCTTCATGTCAGGGGATTCAACAGCTCACATATAATGATATAACCGAAAAAGATCATTTTCACTCTACCTAGTTCTGCTCATGTATGTCTCGTTATAAAAATAGTTGAAGTCGGCTATATAAATCAATTGAAATAACTCAATAATATATAAAGAATTAATGTTGAAAATGAGTATAAGATTTTAAAGTCACCTGCCAATAAGGCCATTAACCATAACAACTAAGTGAGGAGGAGGAGGAGGAGCATGACCATTTTGACTAGCTTCCACATCAAAACTACATTCACCAGAAGGTGTCTCAACAACTGAAACTTCATCATCCAATCTCATACATGCGAACCTAGGGAAAATAGAAGACCTTTTTCTTCTCCTTGTCTTCTTATTGCTATTCTCATTCTTCTCAATAATATCCATTTCAGATTTTCTCTCTTCATCAGTAAAGTTTGAATCTTTTCCCATTTCTGATGAACCCATTTTCGCATAATCACTTAAAATCCAACAATATTGAAAGAAAAAATAACAAAGAACAGAAAATTATTTGTGGGTCAAATAGTGATGCGGCCTGAAGACGATCTTGGGTACTTTGGATTTGGAATTTCAGTTCAGCATTTATGGATTTTGGCAAGGAAATTTCTTAATAGAAGCAATGGGACCTTCTAGTAGTCCACATCTGAGGCTGCTGAATAGTAAATATGGAACCTTCTTCTAAATCTTGCTGACACAAATAAATTACTACTACTACTACTACTAAAATTAGCAATCAAAAATAGGCATGTTGAATGATAAGAGGAACTTTGGAATTCTGGTTTCATGAAATGTTTCAGTCAATCAAGATTTTAGAATTTAGAAAAGGTCTAAACCTTGACTGCTTGATTTTCTTTTTTCTTTAAATTTAAATATATTTTTGGACAAAGAGTACATCGTTAGTTAGAGGCTATGGAACACTTTGGAAGGGGAATAAAGGAGAAGGGAATTTGTGTAAAGATCCCATAATGACATTTTGATCGTACACACTTCCTTGTTAGTCACATTCTCAAATTTATCAAAGAGTAGCGTGTAATCTTCCATTGAGTGAAAAATTATGCAGAGGACAATGTAATCAGTGAATTACGGGCACAAATCTTATACGTGTTACAAATTTTACTAAATAAGTATAACTTGTTATAAATAAAGTTTTATTTAAAATAAATGTAGACATTTTAGGTCTTATTCCATTGTAATTCATCTCAAATCAATAAAAAAAAATTCTCTACTTTTCTCTATAAGAGCCCGTTTGGATTGACTTATTTTAAGTGCTTTTAAGCCAAAATAGCTTTTAAGTCATTTTGTAGGGTTTGGATAAAATTAAAAAAAATTGCTTTTAACCACTTATTTTTAAGCTAAAATGACAAAAACAAGCCAAAAGCCAAAAGCTAGAAATCCTAACTTATGGCTTAAAAGCTATTTTGACTTAAAAACTACTTAAAATAAGCCTATACAGATGGGCTTTAATACTTTCTTCTTTTATTATTTTATAATACGTTATCAGCACGAGACTCTAACCAATTGGATAGAAGCTTTATTGAGCGTAATGATTGTCAATTGTTTCATGAACTTCCTTCATGATTAAATTCTAGATTTAATGTAAGTATTTTACGTTATTTTTCTCTTTTAAATTCTTGACATTCTATAATTTGATTTTAAATACAAGCAAAGACAAT